TTATTTCTAAAGTACTTGGATTTTTTTCTAATTAATTATTTTTGCTGTAATTATTTTGTTTTACATGTATCTGCTCTTGATTCATATGTGGCTGAAAAAGACAAGCACATAGTACTTACATATTAATTTGGTACACCAACAAAAATCAAGCAACAGACCTGAGGTATTCTTATTAAGACAGTTTGACGCCCAGAGCCTGACATCCTAATCATTAATGATTAATGGAGTTGACATGCAGTACGCGCAAAGGTGGAAGGACCTGGTTGGAAGGAGGCAAGTGAGTCATGATGCTATTAGACTGGACAAAGTTGGCTTAGTGCTCTGAAAAAATCAGACTGCGTAGTGTGATCATTTGTATGGAGGAGAGGAGGGACTTTATATATGGTGGCAACTGAGAGTTTTACAAAGTTGGAGAGAAAAAAAACCTCTCAGAGTCTTTAGGCCAGATCCCACCCAGAGCTATCTCCTGCTGCCTTGCCTCTCTCTAATTTTTCTGAAATACTTGGATCACCAGGATTCTATTTTTATTGTGTGATCTTTCTCCTGGATTTATTAATATGCACGGGAATTTTTTAAATTGAATATCACTTTCATAAAAAATTGGCTCTGGATGTTCCTGTCTTTCTCAGCTAGGAAGATAGAATAGGGGCTTTCTCAAAGCCTTAATCCATTTAGGGGCTCAACTGAGTGAGTCTGTGTTGAAATTCTGACAAGGTTCCCTCTATGTCTGGTGTGCTTCAACTCTCCAGAAATTTCAGCGGAAAGCCTGGTGTTCTAAGCAGGGCCTTTCCCCTTATGAGTACTGACCCTAATTCATGACTCTTCCATGTCACAGACCAACAGAAGCTCCACTCTGCTCTGCAGAGATTTCTGCTCAGCCAGTTATCCTCCTGCCCTACACAACTTCAGAATTTGACAAATGTCTTGAGAGAAGATTGGTTATGTGTCAGGCTAAATTCTGTCTTCCCTGTTGACTAGGATTCTGGCTTTCAAATCTTTCTGTCACTGTTGAGACCACCAAAAGCTTCCCCAGTTTAATCTCCTCTGTGTAAAGAATACCACACACTCAGACG